ATATTGGCAACACTGTAAACATACATTTAATTACTTACCCCGGATAAGCGGAAGAAGATTTATGGATGGATGGATATCCACAGTATTTTTACTCTCAATTAGACCTCAAACATGACATCACTATTGTTAAAACCATTTCTCGACCACCCCGAGGGTCCCTACTCCTACTTTTAAAACTCCTAATCTAGAGTAGAAGCAATGTGCAAATAGGTTTGATTATTAACAGAAGGCCTATATCATTTTTATTGACGTATACATTTTACTCCACTGTGGGCCTAAGAGCATCAGAACAAACAAATGATCATTAATCTGAAGCTTTTGTGGTGAATGATTATTTACATACAGGTGAATATACATTAAACTGGATATTTATTAATAATGTTGATCATTATCTCTGATCAGTTTAAACCTTTAGGATGAACTGAATCCATTCTTGGTGTCTTTTCCCTTCGATCAATGATGAATCCAGTCGAGTGTTTTAAAGCTACTTAATCTCCGATTCAAATATATTTCTTTTTGGCTTTGGTTTTACATTATAATGAAATGTAAACAAGTAATTAGTGTCTGATGATGTTACTGAGTATTTTTCTAACAGCTGAACTTTCAACACAGGATCAGACAAACGGATACAGAACAGAACTGATCGGCAGTAGAAACCAGAGCCACCTGTAGATTCCGTTTTTAGATATTTGGTTCCTAAATCTAAAGAAACACCAGGATATGAACGCATTTTAAGGTCACTGTTTGATAATATCTTGGGGATATCAACTTAACCAGAGCGCTTTATAAACCAGAGCCCCTTAGAAAACCAGAGGCCGTTATAAACCAGAGCACTTTATAAACCAGACCCGTTTATAAACCAGAGCCCCATAGAAAACCAGAGCCCTTTATAAACCAGAGCCCGTTATAAACCAGAGCCCGTTATAAACCAGAGGCCTTTATAAACCAGACCCCTTTATAAACCAGAGCCCGTTATAAACCAAAGCCATTTTAAACCAGAGCCAGTCATAAACCAGATCCCTTTATAAACCAGAGGCCGTTATAAACCAGAGCACTTTATAAACCAGACGGCTTTATAAACCAGAGCCCCATAGAAAACCAGAGCCCTTTATAAATCAGAGCCCGTTATAAACCAGAGCCACATAGAAAACCAGAGCCCTTTATAAACCAGAGCCCTTTATAAACCAGACCCCTTTATAAACCAGAGCCCGTTATAAACCAAAGCCATTTTAAACCAGAGCCCGTCATAAACCAGACCCCTTTATAAACCAGAGCCCCATAGAAAACCAGAGCCCTTTATAAACCAGAGCACTTTATAAACCAGAGCCCTTTATAAACCAGAGCCAGTTATAAACCAGAGCACTTTATAAACCAGAGCCCTTTATAAAGCAAAGCCCTTTCTAAACCAGAACCCTTAATCAACTTAAACCTAACGACTAATTTATTGTAACCCACTGTGTAATTTAATTCACTTTTACAAAAAGCAAGTTTCGATTGTTTGATATATTTCTATTTATTAGGAGAATGTACCTCATTAGGGTTCAAAAAGGACACAAATTTTAAAAAGAAACAAAGACAACAGGCTTTGGTTTTATCAGATTTTATATAACAATAAAGAGAAATATTCAAAACTAGTCAATTATGGAAAATCAAAACATGGAACCAGTTTGTTGTTAATACAGTTCATTGTTAGTTGTGCAGCAGCTGGTTGATACATTTTCTTTTTATATAAAAAAAACAAGAAATACAAGATTAATGAAGTGTAAACAAAAAAGGCACACATAAATAATAACCAATCTTCTAAGTGAAATAAAGATTTGAAAATGTAGAGTTTGTTTCTTGTTGAGTGGGTGGTTGTAGGAGCATCTGAATCTTATGCGAAGGCCAAAAGAAAAAAACAAAACAAAGAAAGTTTTCACAAAAAAAGGATGCTAAAGGATGCACAGCAAGAAACAACACAAACTAAAACAAACCACTTTGGTGGATAACTCTGATCTGAAACAATCAGGAGAAAACAGTGCTTTCTTCATACAAATAAATTAATATAGGTGTCAACACTTTATCTAAAATCTTATTTACAGCTCTTCTTTTACAGAATTATACATGATCAAAAAACGCTATGAAAACATATTTACAAACCCGATGAATCAAAAAGCACCCTCCAAGCTTTTCTGCTGTCACACACTCGCTTTCACACACAGAGGTCAACAAACTCACACAGACAAACTTCTTCTTCCATGACTAAAACAGTACAGAAGGCATTCTAAGAGGATTGTGCAACACATAGCATCCAAAAAACAGTTTCAAATATGGCTGTGCGATGGAGATATTGGCACACATGCATTTTTACGAGCACACACTGGGAATTTTAAGGTTCGCAACTCTGTCGGTGATGAGGCTAAACCAGCGGGGAACGTGATCGCCCCAAAGATTGGTCGCTTCCAACCGCTCTGCATCAAAAGTCGGGCATTTTTTCCTACTGTTTACATTGCATGACCGGTCCGGCACCAGCTGGGTCCTTCTGCACGGTGCTATGACAAGCCGTCCGCTCAAATAACCACGGGAGAAAAGCCGGCCGCTGATTCAACCGTGCAGCATGCGTGTGAGTATGGAACAACGAATGTCTGCTGTTGTCAGCTGGTGAGCAGTTATGCATGCTGCTTGTGTTTGCAGAGGAGCCACTGCATCTCGTCCCTGTCCTCTGGAGAACAGTGGGGATCGCACAGCGCTGCATGGTGGGTGGAGCTGCGTGTGTGCATGTGTCACAGTCAAAAAGCAGGTCGACAAATCAACACTCAAAGGTTTCCATCAATCAGCGGGCTGATATCTGCAGCCTATTGCTCTTCTCAGACCATAAAACATCTAAAAAAGCCACAAGTCAGAAAGCTTTATAGAAGACTCCCTTTTTCCATCCCACTCTCTGAATCTGTAGCTCTTTACTAAATTAAATAAATGACCAAAACCAACAGTGTTTAACTACATGGCGACTTCACCCCAATTAATTCACAAACATGTTCACAACACAAGACTTCTCCAGTAAAACCATTTGGGATTGGGAACACCAATCTACATGGATTGTCTCACCAACACATGGCCGCCCCAGTTTAGGAGCTCCTCTTTCTTTAGCAGCTGTCCCAGAGCTCCACTGCCAACCAGGAATAAAACAAAGAGTCAAATTAACAAGTGAAGGACAAAACTGGAGCTCAGCCAAACCTCTTTGTGAAATCAAAAACAAGCATCTCTTCAGCGTTCAGTAAAAACCAGCGCTGGACTTCTCCAGCTTAAGGAGCACATTAACACACACCAATTATTTGTAATTTATTCCCAGCATCTACTCACAATCATGACTTTCATTTGTAAAATGATGAATTGCAGGTTTTATATTAAATTTGACAGAGGGGATGGCTGCATGGCTGAATGAAGCGTTGATAGGCCGTTCATCCCTTCGGTAAACTCGATCCAAGCTCGTTCTGACTTCACCGTGTGTGTGCGCGTGTGCCTGAGCGTCCATCAGCACCAGCAGTCGGTGTTTTGCTTCACTTTGCAGTAGAGAGCATAGGCTGCTCCGTGTACCAGTGAGTTCCTGCATCCGGCATGCTGCCCCCTAGAGGCAGGGCGATGAACTGCGGGCATGTGCCTCCTCCGGCTCCGACGACCCCCATGCTCACCCCCTGAGGATACGCGTGGTGGTGCACGTGGTGTCCCATGGCGTCCGTCCGTCCGATGTGGATCTCGTCCTCCTCGCCCTCGCCGGTGGTTTTGCGGTACACCGGGTTGTCAAAGTTCATGCTCTTGGTGGAGTTGCGCCTCCAGTTCCGCCACACCAGGTAGACGCCGGCGCAGACCAGGCCGAACACCACTGTGGCAACGATAGGAACTGCATGCGTTTAACACACAGTAGCAGGGACATGGGAAGGGGGGAGCGTTAACAAGGCATAAGGAGTCCATGGTGTGAAATGACAGGTGTAGAGAGGACATAGGACATGCGGGGGACAGAGAGGGAAGAGGCTGTCTGTGTGTGGTGAGGTATGACATTAAAATGAGTAACAGACACAAAACCAAACTCCAAACCAGACAAATAAACGTCATTAAGGTCTAGCTTGGGACCCTATGAGGCACAACCTAAGACTTTGCCTACCTGTGACTGCACCACATGAAATTTGCTCTAAAATATCTGATTTAAAACTGGATCATTACAATCACACCAATTAAACCCTGTTCAAACAGTCATGGCGGGATAAAGCCTTTTTTTTCTCCATATTACCTTCTCATGTTGCATGCAAAATCAGATCAGTCATCTGCAAATGGACACTGATTGTGTTTGTTCCAGTTCATTTAATCGAGAACAGGGTTTTAGTCTAAAGCCCATAGAGAAAACATGTCCTATTCTTGGCAGAACTATCCAGTGGATTTAAATAGAATAATATGTTTTTAAGGCAAGCCCAATGTTACCATAGAAATTTATTTAGTTAGCTTGCTGCAATACCGACAAATTTTTCCTCTCGTTTAAATTAAGAAAGCGTTATTCATTTTTATGTATTTCTTTGGGTAGACATATGACTCAGATGTTATGTGAAGACTTATTTGCTACTCTGGTCTTTTTGTTGGAGAAAAACATGGAAAATCATAAATGTAATCCTCAGCTAATACCTTAAAAAAGAAAAACAGGTTGACTGAGCCGGACATATTTCTTAGCTAAGGCTAAAATTGGTTATATAAACTAAAGAAAGTCCCGTTTTTATTTTCTTGTTCGAAGTTAAATGAGAAGAACAACAGGTGTTTCTGAAAAAGAGATAATAACATCTACGGTAGTCCAGTGTTGTGAACCTCAGTTAACAATACAGCAGTTCACCTGTTGAAATGCAAGGTTTTAAAACCTTTCTAAGCTCTGAACCTGATGCTAAAGGATAGAATTTCTCCCCACCTTCAGCTTTCTAGCAATCACCTAAAGGTTTTGGACCAAAACTTGCTGGTATCTGGAGCTGATGAGGACTTAATCCGCCTTGATAGAAACATAATCCCCAAGCATTATCAAGGTTGGAAATTCACACTGTGGGCAGTTCCAATCTATTTTGATTTGAACACAAAAAATGTTCCATTTATACACTGACTTATAGGGTAGCAATGAGCTTGAGTTGCTACAAGTCTAGTCCAATTATCAATAAAAGTAAAGAAAAATTACACGGTGACTTTAGAAACGTGACGGTAAAGGCTCTAACATACAAGAGCGTACATGAATCCAAGGAATTGTAGAAGATCAAATGTCAATATTGTAAGCGAAAATGACTCCCCCATGATGTCACATCCAGGCGACAGAGATGGGGGCGGTATGTGTCATCCTCAAGCTCGGGTCCTCTTCCAGAGGCCTGGGAGTTTGAGGGTTCTGCGCAGTATCTTAGCTGTTCCTAGGAGTGCACTGTTCTAGACAGAGAC